GCCCCCCGCAGGTCACTGTCCCCCCCAACCACCCCCCGGGTTCCTAGAAACCACATGACTGCGGGGAAATCACAGCGAGGAGCCCCTCCCCCCAGACAGTGCGTCCAGCCGGGGAGAGGCACCAGGGGGCGGGGCTAGACCGCCAGGGACACGCCCCCTGCCCCTCCTCCAGCTTCCGCTCTCAAGTTAGGCAGGGGCACCTGCAGGAGGCGGGGGCTGCGGGCGGGGGTGAAGGACACCCCAAGGCCGGGAGCCTCGGTTCTCCCCCGCTTCAGTCTGGCCCATCATCCCACAGGGTTGGGGCTCCCCCCCATCTTCACCAGGCGCTGTGACATCATCCCCCTGGCACATTGGAGCAGGTGGCATTGCTGCCCTCTGACATCACGCTCCTGCCCCTCACCCCCAGTGACATCATTCCTCCCACCAGTGACCTCACGCCCAGCAGCCACCCTCCCTCCCCGCTTCATGGTGTCATGAAGTGCTCCGAAGGGTGACATCATGCCTGGCTCCAGGAAGGAGCTCCGCCCACCACCCTCCCAGGGGGCGGAGATAGGTGGGGAGGCCCCACCCCATCGCCCTTAGATGCAGGACCCTCCTTGGCAGGGGAGGGGCCAACCTGGTTTAGGCCCCACCCCTTTGCCCGTGACCAGCCAGCCCACTTTTCCATCCCCCCCCAACCCCCCACCCCAGGGGCACTGCAGGAGCAGATCCAGCCATGCCCCGCCCCTTCCCTCAGCCTCACCCCCAGGGCCCAGAAATGACCAATGGGGGCCGAGGTCCTGGGGTGTTTATTAAAAGCAGACCAAGCAGTGGCAGTGGATGCCCCCGCCCTGCAAGGGGCCCCCAGGTTTCACAAGGTCCTTCCCCCCTTCAATAAATGGAGGCCATGACCGCTGACCTCACCTGCTGGGGGGACATGATCTATTGGATCAGCCAATCAGAAACTAGCTCCCCTGAAACACATGCCAGCCTTTCCCCCATTAACATGAAGGGAAGGTCATGACTTCTGCTAGCAGCCAATCAAAAACCGTAGTGGTGTGTGACCTCTCCCAACAGCCAGTAAGAAATAATGCCAGTCAATCAGAAACCACCTCCTTACTGGGTGACCTATCCATATAGCCAGTCAGAAATAACCCCTATACTGGAGGGACCTACCACAGTGGCCAATCAGCAACCACCCTGTACTGGCCTGTGGCAGACCCTGACAGCCAATCAAAAACAACCCACTTATTGGGTGGCCAACCCCAACAGCCCACTACAAACCACTTCATTATTGGCTGACCTACTCTGGCGCCAATTAGAAACCCAGTCCTTATTGGTGTATGTTCCATCTGGACAGCCAATTAAAAGCAAGGCTCTTATTACCTACCTGACGGATGTAACAGCCAATCAGAAGACACTGCCTGTAGCCTCTTCCAGATTTTTGTCTTAAAGGGCCCCTCACCCCCAAAATACCCCCGGCATAGACAACCCGAGACCCATAAATGCACATGCAATCATCCCCATGGGCCAGCAGACTCAAGGAGGTGGGGGGGGCAGTTGGAGCAGACAGACCCTGCACCTCCACTGCAGCACCCCCATGGCTTCTGCCTCCCTCACCCCCTTCCCAGCAGCCCCTCGAGGGGACCCCAGGGACCCCCAGACCGAGCCAGGACACGAGAGCTGGGGTAAGGACCTGAGTTTATCATCACATGGGGGGGCACAGGGGCTGGTCCACAGTGCGAGCTGGGGTATCCGGTAGCCCTGATCTGGGGGGCACAGGTGGTTCCAATCCAGGCACCAATTGGTCCCAAACCAGTCCTGATCCTGCGGGGCTCAGACCTGGCAGCCGTTTTGGCTGTAGGTGTCCCGGAAGGCGCGGAGCTGGGCACAGAGGTTGCGATAGGCTGTGGCCTCACAGCGCCGGGCGTCGGGCAGCTCCTCCACCCACGACCCCTCCTCCAGCAGGTACCGTAGCCTGGGGGCAGGTCACAGAAGGCAAGAGACCCTCAACATGTCCTACCAAACACCCCACTCCCCAGACCCCCAGAACCTCCAGGCCCGTGAGCAGAAGAGAGTCACAGGGGTCACAGAGGGGTCATGGGGGACACAAGACCCTCAGCCCACCCTGCCAGGACACCCCAGCCTAGTAAGGAGGGTCATGGAAGGCTCACAGAGGTCATGAGGGTCACAGAGGAGTCATGGGAGTCACAGAGGGGAAGAGACCCTTAGCATACCCCACCAGCACCTCCAATGAATCGCCTTGCTGAACCCCCATCCCCCTCCAAAATCTCACAGCCTGGGAAGGGTCACAGAGGTAACAGAAGAGGAATGGGGATATGCAGGGAGGACCCTTGGCATATCCTGCCTAGCCCCCCAAGCAGAATCTCCTTGCTAAATGCCTCCCACAACCCCACATGCACCCCCCGCAACACCCCACAGCCAAGGGAGGGTCATGAGGTCACAGAGGGGTAATGGGGGTCAGAAAACGGTCATGGAGGGATCAAGGGGATCACAGAGGTCTCAATGGGTTCACAAGGGTCATGGGAGATCACAAGGGGGTCACGGAGGTGCAGGAGCCCCTCAGTGTGCCCCATCAAGCCTCCCCTACCTTACCAAAGCCCCAGCCCCACTGCACTCACCAGCCCTGGGCGTCACGGGTCTCCCCATCTTGCCCCATAAGCAGGTAGCAGTGGCCGGGCACTAGGCGCAGGCGGCAGGAGGCATGGACCAGGAACCAGCGCCGCTGACCCTCCTTCACCCCCACGTCACCCGCTGCGGGGGAGGGCGCATCAGGCAGGGGCACCCCCAGCTCCTCCCTCAATCACCCCCAACCCTCTCTTGGCCCTCCAGTTTGTGGTCACAGCCTCCCAGTATTCCCCAACCCCCTTAGGGTCACTTGCCCCCCTCCCCCAGCCCCACAATCCCGCCCAGGGTCATTCCTCTTCTACCCCCACCCCCTACAGGCCCCCCCCAAACCCCTGGGGTCATCCCACTTCTGCCCCCACCCCTGCAGAGTTCCCCGCCCTAGACACCCCATGGAGTCACCCCTCTCAGGCCCCCACCTTGGGGTCCTCCCCTTGCCCCACACTCACTGAACTGCAGCGGCTCCAGCACCTCCATCTCATAGGCCCAGAAGCCACTCTGGTCTTCCTTCCTCAGGACCTGCACCTCATACCCTGGGGGAGGGAGGGTCAGGGTCGGGGCTACCCACTATTTCTCTCAAGCCCCGGCCCTGCCACCCTCCCCGCAAACATCCTTCCCACTGGCTCCCCACAGGGATTTGGGGAAGGGGGCAAAAGGATGTTGGGTGGGGGAGGGGCAAGCGTGTGGTAGGGGAGGAGCTGGGCTTTGGATGCAAGGTGCGAGGCATGGGCTATAAATGGACAGCTCCAAAGAATGGTTCCCAATCTCCCCAGCCATGTTCCACCACTGCATGCCTATCAGGGCTGATCCAGCCTCCCCTAGCAAGTAAAACAGAGAGGAGGGGGCCAGTCATGGGACAAAGGGGCCATGGAGGGCCATGCCAGGATGGGGGCAAACTGGATTGTGAACTGGGGAGGGGTACAGTTGGGGATTTCAGAGTTTACAGGGGACCCAGGACCCCTGGAGTGGGAGCAGCAGGCATAAAACCACTGTAGTGTCAGTAAAAAAAATGCATCTGTCAGTAAAAATTTCAATAGCTTTCAGTAGAAAAAGGCAACATCTTGGATTGTTGACCCTGGGGGATGGAAAGGGCAAGGAAAACATGGGGGGGAAGGTCCTATGTGGTACTCCTGGTGTGGGAGGGATGGGGGTGGAGGTCAGGGTGTCCCCTTCAGGCCTCCGCCTGCCCCTCCTTCCCCCCTGGTTGGTGTCCCAGCTCACCATATTGCGCCTGGGGGCTGTAGCAGGTGAACTCCATGCGTTCAGCCTCTGTCATCTCATCATCCAGCGTCCACTTCTTCCGGGGGCAGGCACTTGGTGGGGAGGAGGAAAAAAGAATCAGGACACCTGAGTTCTCTTCCCACTCTGGCAGGAGTTAGGGCTGGTGGGGTTAGAGTAGAGGGGAGTTGGGACGCCTGGGTTCTCTCCCTTCTGCAGGAGGGGAATGAGGGTTGGTGAGTTACAGCAGGGAGCCACATGGGTTCTCTCCCTGTTGTGAGAGGGGAGTGGGAACTGGGGCAATTAAAGCAGGAAATTGGGGTGCTGGCAACCCAGATGCCTGGGTCACCTCACCTTCAGCACACTGGCAGACGTCATTGAAGCAGAGGGCCGAGACAAACTTGCTCCTGCTGGGGGCGTTGTAGAACACGCTGCACTGCCGGCCTGGGGGCAAGACGTTGGGGCCTGGGATGGTCTCTGGGGCAGCCCCTCTCCCATCCAGCTTCCCCTGACCCCCCAGCCTGCCCACTACCCAAGCTCTCCCGCACCCCATCTGCCTGTCCCCCCTCCCCTCTCCACCCCCTGCCTCATCACAGCCCCCACCTAGCTCATAGAAGTCATATAGGGTGGCAGCCACAGGCTGGAGCAGCCCCACGGGCACCGTCTGCTTTGCCCAGAACCCCATGCAGTCTCAGGCCTTGGGCACCTGGAAAGGGAAGGGTGAACACAGGGTTCAGGCAATGGCCTCATGATGGACATCGAGGCCCCCCAAAGCACATGCCCACCAAAAAACCCAGGTGTAAAGGGATGCTCCCACCTACTGCCAAAGGACCCAGGTGTCCGAGGAAGCCCACACCCACTGCCAGAAGACCCAAGTGTCCAGGGCACATGCAAATGCTACATTTAACTCAGGCTTAAGGCTATAATCCGGTGATACGTTGCAATTTGTTCAAGCCATTTACCACCCAAAGACAAGCCACAAAAATGGAGATCCAGCCTCAAAGGCAGTTATGAAACCAGGGAAAGCTCTGCAGCTCCTTCATGTCATGCTTTAGGTGGGGGCAGGGCATGCCACAGACAGACAGACACACCTCCTCCAGAATATTTCCGTGCTCACTCTGACCCCCTCAATGCTTCCCCCATATCCCTGGGGCAGCCCTTTTGCCCCGAACAACTCCAACCTCTGCTGGCCCTCCCCACTCACCATCTCAAAGTAGAGCAGAAGCCACTGCCCCTGCACCTCGTAGTGGCTGATGTAGTGGTCGACCAGGACTTTCAGCTGTGGGATGGACAGAGAGATGGATGATCCACAGAGGAAAGGATGCACCTTCCCTTCCCCCACCATGAGGAGAAAAATGGGGAGAATGGGGAGTGCAGGGGGGTGGGAACAAGCCAGGATCAGGCCCCCTGACCTTGTCCAGATCAGCTGTGTGGGGCTGGAAACCACTGAGCAGTGTGATGTCGGCAATGGCCATGCACGAGATTGGGGCCCCTGGCTTCCTCCTGCGGTGTCGGGGGGAGGGACAAAGAGTGAGAACATGCCAGGAAGTCCCACCTCCTCCCCAATAGATCAAAGAAGTAACAGGAAGTTCCCCCTCACCCCATGGCACAGACCATGGAAGGAATAAGGGGACTGTGGCTGGAAGTTGCATCTGCCAATGGGGTGAGATAAAAGCAGGAAGACCCACCCCCAAATCACGTGCACAACAGGAAGTCCCACTTCCCATTAGAAATCCTGTGTCCAAGACAGGCAGGAAGCAGGAAGTCCCACCCCCTGGAGCAGTGTAAAGCAGGAAGTTCCACTGGGGATGGGTGGGGAGAAACGAAGTTCCACCCCTTGATGCATGTACAAAGCCGGAAGTCCAGTCTCCAAGGGTTAAATCAGGAAGTCCCACCCCTGGAGCACATGCAGAGTGGGAAGACCCATCCCCAAGGCACAGAGCTGGGGCAGGAAGTCTGCCCCCACCCCCACAGCAGAGGGGCCTCACTGGACGCAGATCGTGTAGTGAACCTCCTTCTCCTTCTGGCTGCGGTCGGCTGCATCCCTCCGGCGCCAGGCACCAAACCAGTGGATG